TTTGAACACATATAAAATTTTTACTTATGTCATTTTTATTGTGTATCATCTATCGCTACCAGCTAGCATATAAACTCTTAAGAGGGCAGGTTGCAGTCTTTTTTTTTTTTTTTTTTTTTTTTTCTCTGAGCATTCAGAACAGCCATTGTTAGGGTCGCCTGGGTGGCTCAGTCGGTTAAGCTCAGAGCCTGCAGCCTGCTTCAGATTCTGTGTCTCCCTCTCTCTCTGTCCCTCCCCCACTCATGCTCTGTCTCTCTCTTTCTCTCAAAAATAAATAAACCTTAAAAATAATAACAAAAGAACAATCATTGTTACTCTGTATACAGTATATATATGTATTACTGAAAAACAGGTAAAACATATGCTTCTTTCCGGCAGCTATTTATTTATTTATTTATTTATTTCAACGTTTTATTTATTTTTGGGACAGAGAGAGACAGAGCATGAACGGGGGAGGGGCAGAGAGAGAGGGAGACACAGAATCGGAAACAGGCTCCAGGCTCTGAGCCATCAGCCCAGAGCCCGACGCGGGGGCTCGAACTCACGGACCGTGAGATCGTGACCTGGCTGAAGTCGGACGCTTAACCGACTGCGCCACCCAGGCGCCCCTCCGGCAGCTATTTATAAGTAATCAGGGAGTTAGACAAAAGATATAAATTACTATTTTTTAAATCGAGACACTATGGGAGCACCTGGGTGGCTGAGTCGGTTAAGCATCTGACTCTTGGTTTCAGCTCGGGTCATGAACTCATGGTTTGTGAGTTCCATCCTGCATTGGGCTCTGTGTTGACAGTGCAGAGTCTGCTTGGAATTCTCTCTGTCCCTCTCTCTCTGCCCCTCCCCTACTCGCTCTCTCTGTCTCTCTCCAAATAAATACATAAACTTAAAAAAAAAAATCAAGACACTATGTAAAGCTAAGAAGTTTAGGAGTACTCTTTCAGTTGCAAGTCAAAGAAACCCACTCAAGTTAGCTTAAGAAATAAAAACGGGCCTTTACTCATTCACAAAATTCAACAGCCCGGAAGTAAACATAGCTTCAGGTAAGCTGGATTTAGGGAGGTTCATGGTCATCCTCAGAATTCCCTGATTTCTCCCTTCAACCTTCAGATCTACTTTCGTCTGAAACAGCTTGAGCCCCAGGCAGGTGATCTCCACCTGGTAGTTTCCAAAGCTCCAGCTGCGGGTTCTGGGGGCTGACTGAGAGCAAGAAATTCGCCCGCGCCTAGCGTGGATCACCTGCCCTGTGGCTCCGCTGCTCTGGCCTGGCCCATAGGCACAGCCCCCACACCACTTATAGGAAGGGTGGAAGAATCAAAAGATAAAATTAATTATAGAGTTGAGCCAAACCTATTTGTGTAACCCGACAGAATACACACAGCCACTGTTGGAAGTATAGCACTCTGACCTCTGGTGGTTAGAAGCCATGGAGAAAATTCAGCATTAGTTCAAAGACCACAGCAGTTTAAAAAAAAATTTTTTTAAACGTTTTTATTTATTTTTGAAGGAGAGAGAGACTGAGAATGAGCTGGGGAGGTGCAGACAGAGAGGGAGACATAGAATTTGAAGCAGGCTCCACCAGGCTCTAAGCTGTCAGCACAGAGCCTGATGCAGGGCTCGAACTCTCAATCTGTGAGATCATGACCTGGGCCAAAGTCAGATGCTCAACCAACTGAGCCACCCGGGCGCCCCTCTAAGATTTTATTTTTAAGCAAGCTCTACACCCAATGTGGGGCTGGAACCCATAGCCCCAAGATCAAGAGTCACAGGCTCTACCTTTTGTTTTTCCTCTTCACTGTTTTCTCTATGTGAATTTTTGCATTTTTAATGACAGCCTATAGTTTCTTTCTTCTAAAGTGTTCATATAAAGTTGTTAAAAAAGGACCAAAATAGGACTACTTAAGCTTCAGTTTTCTTCTCTGTAAACAGAGCATAATAAAAGAATAGTAATGGTACTACTAATTTATAGGATTACCTATAGAGTTATTGTGATGAATCTGATAATTCAGTGAGGGCTTAATGTGGTTACTGACACACACTTCTAAGTTCTCAAAAATTGTGAGCCTTTACTAGTATTTTATAGATTCACTTGCATTTTTAGTGTCTTTGTACACACAAATTGGCTTGTCTACCACCAAACTTTTTTTTTTTTTTTTTTTTTTTTAACTAGGCTTCATACCCAGAATGGAGCCCAATGTGGGGTTTGAACTCACAAACCTGAGGTCAAGACCTGAGCTGAGATCAAGAGTCTGATACTTAGCCGACCAAGCCACCCAGGTGCCCCACCACCATTTACAAAACATTTAATATTACATTATGGGCTGAAAAGCCAGTATTAAGTGTCTATTCTTATGAAGTTGATAGTCTAATTTGAGACTCAAAGCAGAGAGATTTAAACTTTATAAACACAATGTGATATATACATATGATGGAATATTATTCAGGCTTAAAAAGGAAGTCAATTCTGACGCATGCTACTATATTGACATGTTTGAAGACAGTATGCTAAATGAAATAAGCTAGATACAAAAGGACAAATGTATGATTCCACTTATATGAGGTACCTAGAGTAGTCAGATTTATACACTCAGGAAGTAAGACTATGGTTGCCAGCAGCCAGCTGGGAGAGCGAAAGGGAAGTTGTTTAATGAGTACAGATTAGTTTGGGAGGATGAAAATGTTCTGGCGATGGATGGGGTATGGTTGCCCAAAACTGTGAATGTACTCGATGCTACCGAACTGCACATTTAAAAATGGATAACATGGTAAATTTTATGTTACATACATCTCACCAAATTTTTTTTTTAAGTATTAATATAAAGGAAAATCAAGTACTACAAAATAACAGACCAGTAACTTATAAATTATCAAGTGCCGTTTGAATTTTATGCATCAAATGTGTCTTTATTTTTTGAATAAGTAGTACATGTCCACGGTACAAAAATAAAAGTTACAAAAGGGAATACAGGAAAAGCAAATCTTCCTATAGTCAACATATACATTTATATACGTATATATTGCAATAACTATACTCAGACACTGTAAACACTGTTGAAACTTTCTTTTTCTGCTTAACAATGTCTTGGGTAGTACATTAAAAGCAACCTTGTTCTTTTTTTAAAATTTAAAAAAAAGTTTTATTTATTTATTTTGTGTGTGTGTGTGAGAGAGAGAGAGAGAGCATAAGGCAAACTTGTTCTTTTTAAAGAGCTGTATAGATACCATAAATGTATTTAACAAATCCCCACTGAGAAGCCAGAGAGGGTTTCTGTATTTTGTTATTACAAGCAACATTTCAAAGAATCATCTGGCACATACGTCATTTTGTGTAACTGTGAGCATTTCTGTCAGATAAATTCCTAGAGGTTTGGTCACCGGCTCTTGATGTTAAAAGCACCCCCCCATTCCCATTTCCCCATTCCTCGCAGCCAACGAGTCCATTCAGGTTTTCAATATTTATTCATGTCTGAAGTGTTGTCCTCAAACCCATCCTCCAGAAAGAATAATCTGCTCAGACACTTTCGTGCTACCTAATACATCCAGGATAAGGTCTAATATCTTTATTTTGGCAAACAAGGCTCAACTTCTGGTCCCTGCATTTTCTCTATCAACCCTTCTGTACCTTCATCACCCACTTTAACTCTTTTTGCTGATGTAAGAGTTTACAGTTTCAGGTCTCCATGCATGTGCTCTTACTATCTCCTTGGCCTGGCCTACCCTCCTCCATTTCTGTCACTTCTGTTGTGGGGAGTCTAGACCCCCTCATGCAAAAAGAAGAACCTCCCCCTTGGGCTCCACTGGTCTGCGTGCATTCATCTTCCTCAGCCATTGCTCTTCTCCACCGAAACTGTATATGTGGAGCAGCCTGAAATAGTGGTAGGGGCTTGTCTCTTTTTTCCTTTCTAGTTCTGCAACCAGCACAGTGCTTGAGATCATGTGGTGTGCACTCAATAAAATCTCTTTACCTGAACTCAACTAGATCTTGGGGGGAAAGGGATGGAGTCATTCATCCATTCATTCATTCAAGGTATGCTGATGGAGAGGCCATTAAGTGCAAGATTATGTGCTAGGCAGTGGGATTACAGTAAAAGAGATGGGACAACATAAACATGCAATTCTAATTCAGCTGGGTAAGGACTGCAGAGGACTCTAGGTCACAGTTTAGATTTTTTGCATGGAAATGGTGAGCAGAGGGTGGTATTGTAATTAGAAGGAATCACACTAGAAACAAAGCTCATGATTTCTGACTTCTTGCTCATGGCGAATTGTCTTCATTTTTGAAAGAGGAGATGCTCTTCTGGTAAACAAGGTCAAGCACAGTGTCCTGGGTAAAACATAACGTGAGCTAACACATACAAGGGAACTAGGTCAGAATCAGTATACTCCACGAAAGTTCTCTTTCTCTGCTAAACTGCCTTAATATTTGGCGCTACACTGTCTTCTAACGGATAAAAAAAACCCTTCTTTCTTGGTGTTAAATGATCTATATTGTTTAATCAAATTGTTCTTTGTCCTATTCTACTCTCCTCTCCAGTATGACCTCATTTCACAAAAGGTTGAGGAAGCAAGTAAAATGAAATGAAAATAGCAGGTTCTTTCAGAGTTGAATTCAGCACAGAGGATTGCCACTACTAGCAGAGTAACTTTAGGCAAGTACTTACATTCCCTGTTTCCCCTTTTGTAAAATAATAATAATTAATGATAATAATAAATGTTAAGAGCTTAATATGGTGCCTGACACACAGTAAGAGCTCAGCAGAAGATAGCTGTTAAGCGATTCTAAGAACCTGAGATTCTGGCGTCTAATTTCGCTCTTGCAACCAAAAAAATTCTAACTGTAATCTTTACCCAAGCAAGTTAGACCTGAACTCGCGCTTTCAGCGATGAGGCAGTTTGCCCTCTCCCGGCCACCGTCTTGGAGCATGCGCAAATAAACGTGGCGGGACGTAAGTGTCATGGCGAGCTCCATCTAAAGTGTTTCCCGTATCCGCAGAACGGCGTGTGGATCCTCTCACTTTGGACTGGTGTGTTATTCCCTGACCTCTGGGTAAGGGTGGCGGGGGGATCAGTGTGGGGCGGAGTGTGGCTAGAGCTCCCTTAATGGCGGAGCCTGGTTTCCCCCGTTTCGGCCTTTCTCGGGCCGTTTGTTGGCTTGTTTCATAGTTGAAACGGGACTTGCCAGCTGGGGTCAGGGAATTGGGAGGCGGGGAGCGCTGCCAGAAGTGAGGACAGAGTGGTTGGCGTTGCGTGCTGCAGGGCTGCGAAGAATATTTAAAGGAACTCGTCCCTTATTGTCAAATCTAATTTCATTCGTTTTCCCACTTGCGCTGAATTTGTGTGATGGATGGGGACGAGGCGTTCGCAGTTCGGTAGCTTTCACAGAGCTGTACCTCAAGAATTGAAACAGAAGTTGGCCGGAAGAGCCAGTGGCTTGATTTTTCACTCTTGTTCCCTTTTATACTCATAAAACCTCTCTCTGAATCTCGGGACGCCACGTGTTTTTCTGGTGGAAGGTGATCTGGATACGTCCCTCACTGCCAAATCCCTATTTTGTAGCTGGTATTAATTGAATCACGCAGACGTGTTGTAGTGCTGGGCAGTGTTTATTACTGTGGCCAGACGCTGGATCACCATCGTGGCAAATTCGGTGGATGTAAACACACTGACCCAGTCAGTAAGGAGTTGGAAGTAGTGTGGAACATCATTAACTTGGCTGTAGAAAGCTCTCTTTTATGAAGTCTAATCCCTTTTAAGTAGTTTTAAAGAGCCCTTATGTGGTTTTGTGAACTTGTTGGGGGAGCTCGCTTTTTCTAATGAGTTTTTATTTTCCAGACTTCTCTTTCCAGAGGATTTGAGACTGATTGCAGATAATCAAGGTACTTATTTATTTCAAACCTTTTATGCTTGAATAAAGTGTTCCACATTGGAATGTTCACAAAGGCAGTCTAGCGTCTCAGTAATGCTGTCACCATCATTATCTGGAAACGCCATCGTCTCCATATCATGCCAGATCAGTAAATCTAAGAGACATTTTCATTAATTTTAGCCTTTTTTGTACATTCAGCAGCACTGACCTTGTTGGCCTCTTTGACATGCTGTCTTCCTTTGGCTTCTATCCCCTACTGATTTTCTCCTTTTCTGGTTGCTGCTTCTTAGTCTCTGTGATAGGCTGGTTGTCTTCTTTTTGGCAGTTAAATTTGGAGTTCCTCAAGGCTTGGCCCTGTATTCTTTTCTCTTTCTGGATGATCTAATGTATATTCATCTTTGTCAGTGCTGTTGTTGTTGTTATTTATTTTAGCCATCCTGGTGTGTGTGAAGTGGTATCTCATTGTGGTTTTGATTTGCATTTCCCTTATAGGTAATGATATTGACATCTTCTCATGTGCTTATTGGCCATCTGTATACCTTTGGAGACCTGTGTATTCATCTCTTTTGTCATATTTTACATTGGGTTGTTTGTCTTTTTATTGTTGACTTGTGTACTCACTGTATTCTGGTACTAGATGTTTATCAGACATGTAATTTCTAAATACTTTCTCCCGTTGTATGAGTTTTCTTTTCACTTTCTTGCTGGTGTTCTTTGAAGCATATACATTTTTAATTTTGCTGAAGTCCAGTTTTTTTTGTTGCTTGTGCTCTTGGTGTCATAACTAAGGAAGGAATAATGCTTAATCTAACATTACGCAGATTTACATCTATATTTTCTTCTAAGAGTTTTATTGTGTTCGCTTTTAAATTTAGGTCTGTGGTCCGTTTTCAGTTAAGTTTTGTATGTAATGTGAGGAAGGGCTTCAGCTTCTTTCATTGCATGTGGATTGTTCTTTCCCCCCATTAAATTTTTTTTTGGCACCCTGGTTGAAATCAGCTGATGAGGTAGTATATTTTTGATGAACATTCTCGATGATTTTTATGAAAGAGTAACTCTAGGATAAAGATTTTCAAACTTTAGTACACATCAAGATCACCTGGAGGCTTGTTATAGATGGCTGGGCTTTACTCAGAGTATCTGATTCAGTAGGTCTGGCGTGGGGCCCGGGAATTTTCATCTCTCCCGAGTTTCCCAGTGGTGCTAATCATGCTGATCTGGGAACCACGAACTATGAAAACTACTGGTGTAGGACTTTGGTTCACAATGTGGTTACACATGTAAGAATTACTAGAAGGTTTAAAAAATAGTATCACTCTCCAGGCTCTGTTCCCCCATTTTTTTTTTTTTTTTTTTTTTT